TCGATTCCCAGTACTGGAAAAAAACAAAACAAGAAACAAAACAAAACAAAACAAAACAAGAATAGCATTAAGAATAACATTAAGAGCTTAGGAAGTAATTCAGTCATAAGGATGTATCCCTCATATGTGGGATTAGTGACCTTATAAAGGGGGCCCCGGAGAGCTCCCTGACCCTTCTACCTCATCTCACATGTGGAGACTCAATGCTCATCCCTCTTGTCCTCCTACATGTGAATAAGCCACAAGAAAATTCCATATAGAAGCAGATACTACCCCTTACCAGATACTGAATCTACTTGCCTTCATCTTAGACTTTCCAGCCTGAAAAATTTCTATGTCTTTATAAATGATCCAGTGTGGATATCTAGTTATAACAGATAGTAAATTTTGTAATACTCATTTTTTCAATAAATTCATGGTACACTAAAAAAGTCATTGAGTGAATGTACTATGTAGCCCATCATCTTGAAGAAGCTGGATATCTATTCCACAGGGGAAAGGGAGACTGAGAACAATTATGGTGTTAGCTGGCGAAATACTTTATGTCTTTCTGATACTGTATACATTCTGAAATAGTAATTAAAATGTGGAGGTAAATCTCCTGTAGCTGAGAATTATGAGGCTGGTAAACTGGCAACAGTACCTGTCAAAAATCTCATCTGGTTAGCTGTTATATACACTTGAGTTTCCATTCTTGCTGATTTTTTTGCCTCTCCGGGCTTATAGATTTTATTTTATTTTATTTTATTTTTGGTTTTTCTCTGGTACCGGGAACTGAACTCACGACCTTGCGCTTGCCAGGCAGGCGCTTTTGCCGCTGAGCTAAATCCCCAGCCCCGGGCTTATAGATTTTAGTATCAAAACAGAACAAGTAACAGCTGCACTTTAGTGGATGTCTGGGTTCCCACCCAATCATGTCATTCTCCTACAAGTGCTAAGAGAACGAGCAGACATGGGGATTACAGTATTAGCTTGGGTGACTCTGAGTCCAGCCCTTCAGGGAAAATATGGTTGTTACTACCTAGTGGGGATGATAAAGACAGTGAATGACATATGGAGAATTTCCTCGAACAGAGAATACTTCTAGCACTAATAGGGTTAGGAGTTAATGGTATCCAGTCCTGTCCTACAGTGTCAGGACCCCCAGTACTCAGACCCATGAAGAGTAATTGTTTGAGGCATGTAGCTGTATGATGTTTCTGATGAAGAACTGTAGGAACATAAAACTACTTGTATGCTGAGAAAAGTCATGTGTGTGAGTGTCAGGATGATGATTAGTTACACAGCTAAGCGCTGTAGGATCTATCTAAATATCCTTCCTTTATGCATTCATTAAATCTATAAATTATAGTTATGTAATTTAACTAATATCTTCTTGTTTCTCTAACTCTCTCCCTTCAATGGACTTAATAAGAAGCACTGGGGTAGTAGTTACAAGAATATTATGACAAAATCACAAAGAACTAATTTCTAGGAGAAATCGGTATTATCAGGCTGTGTTGAACTTGTGTGCAGGTGGGACAATCAGTGGTAATTTTGAAGCCCTTCTCATTGGGAGTTAAACTTTTGTTTTAAATTGTAGGTTGGGAAGGGGTTTGTGTTTGGATGTTGCTCACTAAAGGAGTGAGCAGTACTGAGATTTGTCAGTGTAAAGGCTCAGCATCAAACACTCTTTCTACCTTCATTAAAGACCTAAATGGATGATAGCATTAAAAGGGGAAAGACACTCACTCGCCCTGTCCCCTGTTCATGACTACAGCACAGTTAATCAACAAGGAAATTGGACTTGGGAGGATGACATAGAGGTGCAGTCTGTCAGAGGTTATCTGCAGCAGCTGTATTGGAGTTAGTAATTATTGATCGGATCATGAACTTCCAGAGGCCATGGTGACATTCCGAACACAGTTATCTGGCTTGATAGTGGCATTGCTGTGGCCACCTTGCTCCTCCTTGAGTCTGGCATAGCAGCTTTTCAGCGTTGTGAGCTACCTGATCTTCTTTTTGCTTATATTAATCAGTATATTTTGTTATTTTCCATTTAATATTGCTGTCTCTTTCACTAGATCAAATCTACAGAGGTCTGAGAGCACAAAGAAAATCAGGGCCACTGTTGGTAGCTCGCAAGACACCTGGGGTTACAGTTCAAGAGCAGCTGATTTGTTCTCAGAACAGCCAACAACAAAAGGCAAGTTCATGAAACAGCACTGAACCACTTTGATTTTTAAGGTGGTGACTCATGCAATAAGATAACAGAAAGGCAAGGCATGAATAAGCAGACTTTGTCCAGCAATTTGCAGTACAGGAAACATTGCATTGATTGCATTTGATCTTCCTTTAAAATTCCAGTGGTTTTCAAAGTATGGGGAAAAGATTACAGAGTTTTCAAAATATGGTAAAAAGATCCCATGTTCAATGGTCCTGTGAGGTCAAAACTATTTTTGCAGCAACACTAAGAAATTATTTGCCTTTTTCACTGTGTTGACATTTACTGGTACAACAAGAGAAATCAAGTTAAAAGCACAAATCAAGACAGCGGCAGCCAAGTTTTCTAGTTCTTATTGTAGCTTTCTTTACTATGTACTCATAATGGAAAAAAGACTATTTTTGATGAAGTGGTAAAAATGTTATTTCTTAAATATTCCAATTGTTGGGTAGATAGCTGCTTAATATTCTGTGTGCTGATATAAAGGTTTATATAAAGTATATGTTGCTAGGACAAAATACCCCAAACCCACAAGTTAAAAGAAAAAAGGATTATTTCAACTCACAGTTTGTAGAAGTTGGGATCCATAGTTGACTGGTTCCCAGGCAGGGTGGCATGGTAGAGGGACATTGAAGAGAAGAAACAGTCCCAAGCAGGGTGGGCAGGAGACAGCAAGCAGCGAGCTGGATTTCAATCTTTCCCTTTTATTCCATCCAGGCTACAAGTCCATTGATAGGTGCAACACAAGGTGTGGCTTCCATTTTCCACACCCAGAACTTGCTGCACCCCATTAGTTATCACACATCCTGGATTCAACCACCTCTGAAAAGCCTCACTTAAGAATGCATGAGGCTTAGAGGGAACATCCGGATACAAGTCATGACAGCATAATTTCCTACATTTTTCCTCTGTGTGTCTGTGATTTTTTTTTTTTCAGTACTGACCCCTAGGATAAACAAAAAGCACAAAACAACCCTACCCACAGTGACAGCTGATCGTGTCAACTTAAATAAGAAATGCCCAACTAAACTGAAACAGTAGAATTCTGGGTGTGAGTAACGGGATTCACTGAAGACAGAAGACCCTCCCTGGGTGTGAGTGGTATCAATAAATAGACTTGCACCTGGTTGGAATAAGAGGGAAATGAAAAAAGGCTTATTTTTGTTTCTTCTGAGAGCTCTAGTCTTTACTTTTACTTTGGACAACTCTCTTGGCTTCCAGCATGATCCTCCAATCTTTCATCTCAGATCCTTCAGCCTGCTGAAATGAACTAATGTGGGACACTACCGTGAGCTCCAGGCCTTTGACTGGATCTTTAGGATCTCTAAGACATAGCGCTTTTGCTCTTTTCCATACCTGATGCTGCAGGTGGCCACTGTAAGTCTATTTTGTACATCTTTATACATTTGTATATGTTGCATTAAACCTGTTTTTCTAATAAGCACTGACATACACCCACCATTACTGTCTTTTAAGTAGTTAGTCCCAAGTAAATTAATGGTAAGTTATAAAGAAAAACAGGATGTCATACATTTGTTAATTTCTCATAGAATGTGTAATTGGCTGCTGGGTCACCATATTGGTTCTCAATCCTTGGAATCAGACTGGATGCCACCTTCATTCCTGCATTTTGATTTTTGTGTGGTAGCTTTTTCTGTATCATAGTAGCTGCACAAAACTGAATTTCACAAATAACATGCTGTTTTGAAAATAAATATGATGTGAACAGCTGTTGAAACTATTTCCAGATAGTTGTTCAACTAATAACCAACAGAGGATGCTCAATATCCTTTGAAATGTATAAAATATCATGTGGCTCTCCCGTGACCCCTTGATGGTACCTTGCTGGTACTTGGGCACACATTTTCAGAGTGGAGGGCATAACATATTCCTGCTGCATATTATAGTACAATGGTTATCCCAAGGAAAAGTACTTGTAGAATTGAGTTGATGAGCCCATTTTTCCATGGAAGTGTGATTTTATTTTTCAGACACTGGCTGTTCAATAGATGTTGGAGAGATATTTTCTCCAAAATGAATGAAGTGAGCTGATTATGTCAAGGACAACAAATAACTCCATTCTTTCCAAGTATAAAATTCAGATTTTTAGATAAATATTGAAATTTGTAAAACCTGTATGTACAACCATGATTACAGCAGAACTTCAGTGTTTGGAGATTTCCTTAATGAGATCTATACGATATTAGCAAAGGCAATGTTGAGACGTTGGATAGTGAAATGTCAACATTTTGAGATCTGCATAATTCAGTAGAACAACATGGTATTTGCCAAATGATCAACGTTACAGAACGATGGTGTGAGTAGAAGATCCAAATTATAGATAAAAGAGGCAAAAGATGCACAGTGTAAAACAAATAGATCTTATTGTGCCAGATTATGAAACGTTAATTCATGTGGTTTCAGATTCTAAATTGAAACTAGCATTTAAGATCCTAGCAGTTCTCCAGCTTTGGTATGTAATAAATCAGGATACTTATAATTATGGGAAAAGGCTATTCAAATTCTAACTCTATGTCTGATGCAGTCAAGTTTTCTTTAAGTGTTTCAACCAAAGAAGCATACTGCTACAGATTGGATTTAGAACCAGAAATGAGTCTTCAGTGATTTTCTGACTAGGCCAGGCACTGATAAGATGTTTTGACCGTGTAACATAATATCTCTTTTCTTATTCATGTTTTGAAAAAGTAGTTACTTTCATGAGATTGTTTATTCATATTTATAAATGAACAAGTCAATGAATATTTTAAAATATTTTCAATTTTACCTTCTAGTTAAATATAAATAATCACAGTCAAAAAGAACAGTTTAGTATTATCAATAGTTACAGTTAAGATTTTAAAGGGTTTCTGAAACTAAATATTTAAGAATCACTGCTTTCAGCATTCCGATTAGGCAGAGAAAAGTTTACCACAAATGAGAAAATTGTTATAAAGGTTAAAGGGACATACCCAAGGTCACAGAGCTTCCCAGAAATAGTGCCAGAAAGTACATTTATTTCCCAGAATGATTTCCCCCCCATTTAATATTTTTATATGGTTGAGGAAAAGTAGAAGCTTAACCATAGAAAGGTAGGACAAGGAAAAATTTGGAAAAAATCACAAAACAAGGCTCTCGTGAATGTAGAAGGAAGAGCTATTCATTACTGACTCATGCACCTTGGCAATATGTATTTAAGTTAGAAGTGGAAAAATTTGAGTTGTGTGATTACACTGCAGCTTCTCACATCATGCAAGAGTAGACAGTATTTTTTCTGAACATGGGTAAGGCTGGGAACCCTACAATAACAGGGAAGAAGTGTGGTCTTGGTAACCCTTGGGAGTGCAGTGGAGGAGGGGCATATTTGCTGAAAGGTCGCCCTCTCTCTGACCTCCGCTGTAATAAAGTCACTTCTCAGCTCTGGCAGTTGCTGGGTGATTCCTGCAAGGCATTGGGCATGTTCTTGTATATTTATTTACTTACTTTGCTTGTGATTTGGTTACAGATTATTACAGTTCTGCATTCTAGTTCTGGAAACATCATCTTTCTAATGACATTTGCCATTTGATATTTGCACATGATTCTCAAGTCATTGATTTTATTGTGTCTTCTTCTATGAAGGAAATGTGGTATAGTAGCTGTGTCAAATTTCACCCAATATTTGTTGAATAGAAAGTTTCACTTGTCTTTTATCTATAAAATCTTTCCTCAAGCTTGTGGAATTGTCCCTGGAAGGAGTTAGAGACATTTAAAATCAGATTATTACTCTTGGAGAGTTTTAGGATATAGCAACAACTGAAAACTACTTTTATTTTAATACAAAATTTTCATTTTATAATTCCCTCTGCTTTTAAATTAAACCCAATCACAAGCTGAGTTTTTCACCATTTTGAAGCATAATTGAGAAATAAACACTATGCATTTAAAGTGTACAGTTAGATGTTTTGATATACACTTTATAATACACTGCATCAGGTTATTTACCATCATTACACAAAATTAAAAATTTCTTCTTCCTTTTTAAAACATATGTGTGATAAGAACATCTAAGATCTACCGTTTCTTCAGATTTCAGGTATGTAAATTGTACTGTTAACTGTGCTTGTATTGCTGTTCGTTAGACCACCACATCATACCTGACAAAACTGAAGTTCTGTAGCCCTGATCAGCCTCTCTCTGCTCCCCTTCACCAGGTCCCACACGAACTGCCTTTCTCCTCTCTCATTTTCTGTGTCTGCCTTTTAGATCCTGCATACAAATGAGATCATGCAGTAATTTTTTTTCTGTGCCTAACTCATTACGTTTAGCGAAAATTTTGCCTTCATTTGTGTTGTCACAAATGGCAGGGCTTCCTTCATTTTTCAGAGCTGAATAATATTTGTACCCATATCATACACATACACATCACCAAGCACACACATAACATAAACACACACACACACACACACACACACACACACACAGAAACAGATATACACATCTGCATGCACACACACATTCTACTTATCTACTGATGAATATTCAGGTGATTTCCTAATCTTGGCTATTGTGTATATCTCTGCAATGTACATAGGAGGGCAAAGAACTCTTCAAGATATCAATTACAACTTCTTTAGATATCTAGAATTCCTATATACCCAGAAATAGGATTGTTGTATCATACTGTAGTTCTATTTTTTCATTTTAGGAGGAGAAATTCCATACTGTTTCCATAAATGTTATGTATACCAATTGACATTCTTAAAAAAGTGTACAGAGGTCCCTTTTCTCTACATCCTCACTGATACTTGCTATTTCTTTTTTAATAAAAGGCATTGTAATAAGTGTGAGATGACATCTCATTTTGGATTTGATTTGCATTTTCCTGATGATCAGTAATGGTTAGTACTTTTTCAAGGACTCATTGTTATGGCTTGTATCTATATGTCTCCCCAAAGCCTCATGTGGTCATAGGTGAGGAGTGTAGAAGCTGGGTGCATTAGGAAGTGTGAATGGGGATTAACAGTGTGATGCTGGGATTAAGGGTGTGGCACTGGAAGCCCCACCCTCGGTGTGGGTGGCACCAATTAATAAGTTTGTAGCCTGGGTGGAATATAAAGGGACAGAAAGAAGGCAGACTTGTTGTTGATGATTCTTGCTTTGGTGCCTTCTGCCTGCCCTGCCATGGATTGTTTCTCCTCTGTGATGCCCTTCTACCATGCTGCCCTACCTTGGAGAGAGCTGACCATGGACTGAAACCTCTACAAACTGTGAGCTGAAATGAAACTTTCCTCATTTAATTTGTGTGTATCGGGTGTTTTCTCTCAGCAATGAGAAATATATTTTAGACACTCACGACCATACATACATATTCCTTTGAAAAGTATCTATTCTGGCATTTTGCCCACTTCTTAATTGGGTTATTTATTTATTTTGCTCTTGAGCTATGTGAGTTGTTTACATATTTCTAAAGTTTTTTATTTTAAAGAGAAAAAGTAGCAATAAAACAGAGTTTCAAAACAGGTTAGTAGGAGAGTTACAATAATTAATATACTGCATTTTGTTGTCTTCCTAGTAGTTATTTACAGTACAAATATAAGCATGATATTTTGTCCAAATAATATGAGCAGAAATGTTTCTTTTCAATGCACTAAGAGAAGCTAGCTGTATAACTCTGTTAACTCTGTTAACTCTGTTAATCCACCCTATCTTGTGTATAAATGTATATTTTTTCCTTAGTTCCTTTGCCTTGCCCTGTCACAGTTGGTCTTTTCTTTTGAACAATTTCTTTCAAATTCACAATATCTATTGTACATTTTGGATCTTGTTTACTTTTTCAGCTTCTCAGACTAGGGAGACAATACAATGTTCGTACATGCATATCTGGCTTATTTCACTTATAAGTGTGGTCTTGAGTTGCATCCATTTACTGATAAAAGTCTCCAGTGTATCCTTCTTTATGGCTGAATACTACTCCATTATAGTAAAAAAAAAAATCTTTTTTATCCATTCTTCAGTTGATGGCCATTTGCATTGTTTCCAAGGTTTAGCTATGACCAATAGTGCTACTGCAAACATGGGTGTACATATACTGCTATGGTATGATGTTTTTAATTCTTCTGGGAAGATACTCAGAAGAGGAATAGCTGGGTCAAATGGGACCTTCAATCCTAGTTTTTTGAGTGATCTCCAGACTGATTTCCACAGTGGTTGCACCAGTCTGCACTCCTTCCAATGGTGGAGAAGGGTTCCTATTTCCTCACAGACCTGCCATCATTTGTTATTGGTTGATTTCTTGACGGTAGCTCTTCTAGGGTGCTATGGAACCTCTCTTGTTTTACATATTTGGAAATGAGCTGTTTATTAGATATACAGCTGGCAAATGTTTTCTCCTGTTCCATAAGTTCTCTTTTTTGTTGATTATTTCTTTTACTACACAGTACTCTGAGATGGATGCAATTTTATTTCTTTAATTCTTTTTTTGTTGTTTGTGTCTTTGGTATAATATCCAAGAAATTTTTGCCCATGATGATATCGGGCCAATTTTTCTGTTATCTTCAAACTAGTTTTGATTTCAGGTACATTAGTATGTTTAAGTCTTTAATCCAAGTTGAGCTGTGTGTGCGTGTGTGCATGCTTGCTTCTCTCTGTGTGTGTGTTTTTATAAGGGTTCATTTTTTTGCTTTTCAGTATGTGAATATTTAATCCTTTCCCAAGCTATTTGCTAAAGGGCTACCCTTTCTCCATTATGACCTTAGAACTTAAAACAATGGAAAGTTTTGTTGGCAAGTGGTATGGATTTACTCCTGGCTATTCCATTTTGTTCCATTGCTGTATATCTCTGGTTTTAGATGATGATACATTTCAGGACATCAGTCCTAGTTAAAGCAGTCAGTGTTAAAGGCTACTGCTTCTTGGCAGCTGCTGAAAAATACCTTTTTTGACATTACTTTTAAAATTTGTGTGTATATGTGTGCGTGTCTAGAGGAGTAGAGACAGGGATGTATGCAGAATCTGAACCAGAATGCACAAACCAGGGGACCCCGGTATTTCTCACAATAGAAAGCATTTCTTTGGGTGAGACTCCTGTAAATGAGACCTATTTTTGTTCTTTGCTGCATGTAGCAGAGAGAATTGAGCCCTGAAAGGTTCGGTGGGATTGTCCTATTATTGAAAAATCAATAGTTACATAAGATAGGGCATTAGGCCATATTATGAGGTCTAAATTACAAATACCCTTTCATGTCTATGGACTCATGGCTATTACTTGGCCATCGACCCTGGCTTATTACTGCATTCACTCCCTATTATACGTGAATATAATGGCTCTGAATAAATTCAGAAAGATGGGTTTCAAGACAAATACCAACTTCCACAGAATATGAATAGTCAAGAACACTAAACTTTTACCAGGCCCATATTTTAGAGGGGGAAGAGGCATTTGTGCAGGGGCACAAACGTTGATGCCATTCATAATGTCAAACAAGGGCAGGTTGTTGTTATGATTTTCAGAACTGCACATAAGTATCTGAATGCTCTAAGAAAAAATGATAAAAATCAAGATTATAGGAGGTAAGTATTTCCTTTTCAGACCACTCTGTCTCTAGTGAGTTTTAGTTTCACATATTACCTTGTTTCCCTAGATCTCCTCTTCTCCTTCCCCAGTGCAGGCTGAGAATCAAAGGTTCCTTTTCCTCAGAATCATGCGTCTATGAAAATGCTGACATGGTAACAGAGCGCGAGAATATTAAAGCAAGAGGCGGGAGGAGGTAGAGAGATTGGCGTTATGGGAAAATAAATCTTACTGTCTGCAAGATGTATGTGGAGAAAGGGAGAGATGGAAACTAAGGCAACGAACTTCTGTAGAGCCTTTCCAAGGCTATGGTTTGAAGTCAATCGAGGTGGATGTTTTCTCCCCCCACACTTCTGCTTAAGAGGCAAAAAGGCAAATTTATCTCTGTCCTAAGGTAGATGTGAGCAAAAGTAAACTTAAGCAACAGGCTGAGCTTCAAGGGTTTTCTATTATTGAAGCTTCTCTAGAACCAACACCTGAGTACTGAATGCAGTGAGCACGCATTCCAACAAAAGGAGGCTCTTTGTTCTTCCAAGTCCGCTGCCAACCAAACATGACTCAAGGTCTCTCTGGAATATTTAAATCCAATACAGTGGTGTGTGTGTATGTGTGTATGTGTGCTGTTTCAGCTATTGCACTTGGGAAGCTGAGACAGGAAGATTGCTTGAGCCCAGGAGTTTAAGGCCAGCCTGGGCAGCATAGCATGATCCTAGCGTAATCTTGTTTCTTAAAAAATGATCTATCTCTCTGTTTGTCTGCCTGTCTATCTATCCATCATCTATCTGTGAGAGATGAGAGAGGGTATTTAATGGAATCATTGGTAACCACACCTTTAGTTATCAATTAGTCACTTATTCATTCAAGTAACAGCTACTGTGTATTATCTGCTTAATATCTGGTTCTTATTAATGAGCATAACTGCTAGAAATTTTGCCATATGTAAAGTTTACCACGTGGGCATACAGTTGGGAAAGCTCAGTCCATAGAGGGACTTACACGGGAAGGTTATCAGGGTGACATTAATAAAAATCATGACGTGGTCACATTTCAGTTTTAGACAGTTCAATATGACTGCAGAAATGAATGTATGTCTGGAGAGAAGGCCCAAGAAGAGGACCAACTAGAAGGCCATTTAAATATTCCAGGGGAGAGATTGGGATATTCTCAACCATGGCAGAGAGAGGGATGAAAAGGTAGTAACGAGAAGAGAGTCTAATGAGCTCAGTGTCAGGTGATAAAAACAATAGGGTTTTGTTGTTGAATGCCTATTACCTGCTATGCTTTTGTGGCCATTCCCCACTTAGTTTAAAGCATTTTATTTGTAATAATGCCTCTTATGATCAATTCATCCTAGAGGAGTGTCTGGCAATATTAGGTATGTGGTCCAGAAATGGAAAGGGAACTTTAAAAGTAACATTGCATTATTTCTTCTAGACAGCTACTACAGGATCCCACATACTGCTGTGTCTTCCTGGTCACACTCCTCCTTGTTTCAACTCAACTTTTGATAACACCCCCATCTCAGCAGTTCTTTCCCGTCAGCATGTATGTGGGTGGCCAAATCTCTCTGTCTCTCCCCTCCCCCCCCAATCCCACAGATTAATACTATCAACAAGAGTCAGACAACTATTACCTCAAGCATGAGACACTCCTGAGTATTGCTCGAGATCTGCTTCTAAAATTCTCCAGGCTATGGGTCATCTGACAATAGATACTATGATGTCATGAACATGTCATCATCTATGTATAACTCTTTCTAGTCTAACAAGGTTCCTACCATGTCTCTGTATAAACAGCTGCCTAATGAGGTAACTGGTACAGGAATTCTGACAGGCAGTGGATCAGAGTCAGGAAGCCTACCTGCTCTCCCCCAAGATGTATCACTGTGTGAGTCATAAACCTTTTCACACCCACTTGTGTGTGTGTGTGTGTGTGTGTGTGTGTGAGACACTTCCAGTCTTGACATCTAAACCCACAGTTAGAAGGAAGTTCATGCTGAAGAGTGTAATTATAAGCATCTCGTGGAATAATACTTTGAGATGATATAATTATCCTATTCTTTGCCAAACATGTACTCATAGGTTTAGCATCCATTTATGATTCCTTGTGAATAAATTATTAATATAATTGAGTTAATGAATATTAAATGTTGCAAATATAAATATTCATTAAGATAGTAAATATAAATGGAGATATTCTAATTTCAGCATTCCTTTTCCATTAGTTGGTGGCACATGAAAGGAGTTTTTCTCAGTTTAGTGGTATTTATTTATGTTAGTATAAATTTATAGATTCCTATAAGTAGGTTTCAGTTTACTCTTACATGGATTTTTATATTGAAATTATCTAACAATTAGCCAACAAGACTTCTTTCAAGGCCACTCTTTGTCTTTTTAACCAGTTCTTAGCATTTTTTATTATTCCTGTACCTTTAGCACAAGAAAAAGTTCATACTTTCCTGTGTCTTGTCCTTGCTGCAATCTCTCAGTCAGCCATTTCTTCGGGTGTGTTAAGAATAGTATTTAGAAGGCAAACTCTGGGTGGTTAGCATACTTATTTTTAAAAAAGATCATTGTCTAGTTCTTCTTAGCAGTCAAAATCAGTAAATAAATGTATTTGTACACATTTGCATAACATGTATGTGCATATGTGTATATACTGAAGTATATATTAATTCCTGTACTATAAAAATATAAATATATTACTAACATCTCTATATGTATATATATTTATATATATAGCTATATATTTTTCATTGGAATTAGAAGCATCAGTGCAAACAGGATTTTAAAAATATGTGCAAATATAATATGCATGTATGTTATATACATATATGTTACGATAATGAGAATGTTAAGTAAATTACAGGGTGTCTATAGCAACAATTCTAGTTCTCATAGAAAACACAAGAATTATAGCCATATTGATTGACTTCTCCTCTCCACAGTGAAGAATATAACTTCTTTTATCTTTCCTGAACTAATACACTTATTCATCCTTTTTGTAATCAATATACTCACCTCATTGACTGCCTTTTCAGCCCAGAAGCACAAATCTTTCTCATTCCTTTGGTCTTGGTCATGTCTCTTACTATATCCCATGGTCCATACCAGCACTGGTCTCTCATCAGCCCTGGCTGCCCTTTTGGCTGTAGTTTGGTCAAGTTTGGTCACCCTGGCTGTCCTGTGGAAAGAGCAGGGATAGAAAAATAATGTGTATTCCTTAAAGGAAATAAAAAAGGAAAGAAAATAAAAAGGAAATCAAGAGAAAAATCAGTAATAATTTTTTGATTCAATATTGGATTTAAATAGTTTTCTTAATGTTTAGAGTTTAATTTTGTTCTTTCTTAAATGGACAGCAAGCAAAATATTTAAGATTGGTGAAATAATAGGCTAATCATTGCGCTGGATTTGAGATAGAGAAAATGGGAAATCTAGGGAACAGTAAATCTGCTCACTGTAAGTATAAAGGAAAAGAAGTAATATTTAGTGAGTTAAAACCAAGTGCTTCTCATAATGGTTTTAGATATGATCAGTTTCATTAAGAATGATCTGAGAGTGCTGTTGTTATTCTCATTTTAATGATGAGCATGTTACTTTCAATCAATTTCTCTTTCAGGATACAGAGGAAGTGTATTACAGCGGCTGTTTGAACCTAGGTTTGCCTTACACCAAAAACTGAGCTTTTACTTCTCTGTACCTTCCATTTCTTACTCTGAAGCATTGAATGTTTAACTAAGTCAATAACAAAAGATTTGAGAAATTAATATGCTGTTTTTGTTGAAAATTCATGGGGCTTCAATGATTACAGATGGTTCAACATCAGTAGTGAAAAGAATAGAAAGTATATGTTGAATTTTAAATGAGTCAGAGATATTTGGGGTCACCTTTGAGAAAAGATTTGGGGATTGCATTTCCTGGTATATGGGGAAAGAGGAGTCATTTTAGTTCTACTCTGCCAAAGGCAAAATCTTTGCTTCAGAGATAAGGATTTTTTTCTTAACTGCCTATTCCCCATAATATGTTGGACTTTAATGCTAAAGCGATTTCCAACATCTGAATTACTTGCTTCAAGCCAGCTGGTTGTGATACCTGTGGTGTCGTTCCTATTAAAAAATACTTTGTATGTCACTCAAATATGCTGTTCTCAAAATCTAAAATATGAATACATTTCATATTTAATGCCAAACTTGTGATAACTTGAGACCTGCTGGTCTAATTGTCAACAATTAGTCTTCTCTCTAACTTTCTTAATCTTTTCGAGGGCTCCCTGGGATGCTAACTTGTGTGTTCAGGAAGGGGGTCTCAGGAGTTTTTCTGCTCATGAGTTATTTTTATTATAGCACAGTCAAATAAGAAACAAACCCACATTTATCTGAAAGGAAGAAAAAGGGACTGTTGCAGCAATGAGAACACCTTGGCCATGTGATTAGCAAGGTTTATGTCCAAGTTTGGAAAAACAAGCAAGTTTTTTTTTTCTTTATGTTCCAGTCCTACGTCTTTTTTTGTTTTATTTTGATTGTGTGTGTGTGTGCACGCACACATGCACACATCTTTTTCCCAAAACCAAGCCTCTTTCTGACTTAAATATAAATCAAAGTCTCCACCCTTGAGTAGTGAAGAAAATATGCAAGAACTTTTGAAATGGCATATTTCCCTGCTCTTGTGCCCATCACAGTGTTTAAAGTAATAACTTAGTCTCAGCCAGGGTCTGAGGTTATGTGCGTTATTTTCAGAACTAATGATGTATAGTGTAATTCAAATTCTGCAAATGATAATACCTATATTCATACTGTGATTTACCATTTCCAAAGCAATTTCATGTTGGCTCATTTAATCCTCATGAGTACTTTTTGAGAGGAAAAACACTTTAAAACCCGTCTTACAAATGAAGAGACTGTGTACCATATCCTCTATCCAACTTGCCCCAGAGAGTCAGCGCTGGGAATCCAGCTGCCAAGGTCTCCTCATTTTAATCTCTTGGACGCTCTTTGAGCAGTTGCTGAGTCAGCAACAGGCGTGACTTGGCCTATTTTTGTCTTAGTTTTAAATAGATTGTATGTCTTTGGCCTCCTTTCCCAGCTGAGAACCATTGGTTGGGTTTACCTCAAAAAGGAATTTGTTCTTTGGCACTAAGTCTTCTTTTCTAAAGAATACTCAGACTTGGAAAAGAGAATTGAATGATTTGAGCCAGAGCAACACCTCCACCATGTGGCTGTCCAGCCGAAACCTGGATGCCTGAATGGATGCAGAACTTACTCCATACCACCTCCTGTGTGTACATAGGTTTGCATGAGACTTTTGGCAACTCATGAGACGTATCATTTAATTACCCTTACATTAATCAAAGGAGAAACTGATGCATGTTGAATTTAAGGAATTTGTCTGCGGTTATATGAAAGTAAATTATAGACTCAGCATTTGAACCCTGTCCAGTGTTCCTTTGCTGAGTGACCAGGTCACGCTGCATCTGTACATGCTAACTTCAATGTACAAAGGAGGACTGCAAATCTTTCTGGTGTTCTGATGTCGATTGGAGTGTACAGGGACATGTGTCCAAATAGACGAGGATTAAGGATAGGAGCATACTATTTAGAGACTTGGGTTTTGGCTTGTTTGCACAGCTTGGCTGTGACAGAGCAGGATCCATCTAATCCAGAAGAAATGTGTTGCCAGAATGCTTTCTTCCTCAAATGCTCTAAATCACTCCATGGTGGCCTGGAAATTGCCCCTCAGATGTTAGGCAATGATTAAAATCACGAGCAAAGATTGGCTTCAACCTCACCTGAAGAAAGTTGCTAAATTTTTATCTTTCAAACTGAATGTGAGGTCTTCCTCTCCAATATCCAAGTGCTTCAATATCCAAATTAAACTCAGCTTATAAGTTACCAGTTCTTTTTTCAGATGCAGAAAACCAAATTTTTCATATTAAAATAACTCAATGACTTTTATTTAAAATCGAGTCTCAATTAAGTAACTCAGATCCATTTCTCCCAACTTCTCTTTCCTGCTCTTTGTAGGCAGTCCTGGATTTGGATGACATCTACATTAACACAGCCTCAGCTAGGCAAGGGTGGGGAAGGAGGACCACACGCAGTTCTGGCTCGGTGCTCCTTCAGGTGACCACTGGGGTAGCCATATCCTGCCAGGTCTTGGTCTTCAACCTCATCCCTGCAGAATCTGTATTGGCTGTTTCTTGACTCTCCCTGTCCACAAACCCCCTCTGTCTCCTCGTGTTCTTACCTGGGGGCCCTTAGATGTTAACACTTCAGGACACTTTTGAATGCGCCCTTGTGACAGCTAAGGCTGCAGAAGACTCCAAGGTGTCTTCTCTCTACCTCCACTAAGCTCCTGCTGCTTTACCTATTGTTTCCTTGCAGAGCACATGGACTCCTTGAGTGGCTTGGAGGAACCTCAGGCTACTCTATAGCATGTATATCAGCTTTGCCATTGATGAAACATAGTATCCAACACTTATAACTGAAAGAGAGGCTTTATTTGGTCCATGATTCATGGGATTCAGTCCTGGTTGGCCTGTTCCAAAGAAGAAACATGGAAGGGTGTGGCGGAGGAGAGCTGTGCACGTCATGGCAGGCAGGAAGCAGAGAGAGAAGTGTGGAGCTGAAGAGGGAGATGTACATGACAAATGCGCCCCCTCAGGGCCCCACCTCTTCCAACCAGGCCCCTCCTCCTAACAGTACATTTAGATATTTCCTGTTGGGTATGTCCCGATGGATATGTCCTGAGTGATATGTCCCAATGGATATAGAACCTCCGAGATTCAATTACCTTCCACCTTCCCCAACTCTGAACTATGAGAATTTTAAGGGATGTTTTATTTATTTATTTATTTATTT